AGTTTCTTAGTTTGCAAGAATGGTCACATTTACCTAGAGTAACTAATGCTACCCATGAGACTGGTCATTCCAACATACATGAAACTATCTGAACGACCATTGAAGGTCACTGTTGTCAACATCCCTGCACAACGTGCACTACCATAGCAGTATTTACTCCAGGCAGAATAGGCATTATCAACATGAGAACAACAAGGGAATATAGAACAAAATCAACTTAATGGCTTTTTTGGCCACATGTTATGTGTAACCTGCACATATACAAAATAAATTATAAACTCAAAATATATATACTATAATGCACAGTAAATTTATGTACCATAAATGTAACTGACAATTCACACAGTTATGTATATGGTGTTTCTGAGATTAATGTTTAATCTTCCAGTCATCACTCTAAGCTTTACTAAAAAATCTACATTTTATTTTATATCTACTTTTTATTTCAATTTGTATTAAATCCTTTGTATTATCCTTATAATTTCTAACCACTTTTGTTTTCTTAGGCAGGCAGCAAGGAAGAAAAAAGCTGTCTGTTTGGAGAACACGTTGCTATGGCATTAGCTGACTTCCCTGGTTTAGCAGACAATGTTGTCATAGATGATCGAACACAGCTGACCATTGGTCGAAGAATTTTAGACTGTGCCTCCTTAGGATTTCCTTATCTGGTTGTTGTAGGAAAACAGGTACTATTTTGTCTTTAGTGTTTTCTTTATATGGAGGTTGTACACAAATTCTTGTTACATTTAAACTTTTAATTCTGTATAGTTACAAGAAAAAATATGATTTTGGTGCATGAAATACTCTTTATTTTTTGTTTGAGGAGGTAGAAGTTTTATTACATATTTTCAATGTAGTATGTTTTTTTCTTGCTAGCAAAATGACTTATGAAAATACTTTTAAATTTCTTTTTGTTTTTCATAGACATTATTTCTTAAACTAGAAAGATTTTATTTTAATTATTAGCAAAAAAAACATCATAGTCAGTTTAATAATTTAGAAATAATTTTTCTTTTATTTCACTTCTTTATTCATACACGTGACCCCTTTCATGATTATTCAAATTCCATTCTTTAAATCATTAGTACCACCTTGTTATAAAAAGTACCAAATTGATAAGGTTCTTAAAGTATTGTTACAATGCCTTATTATGAAAGAAAATATAAAAGATTATTTTAATGTAATAACACTTTCTGGATGAGGGAATATTACTGATATCCCCCTTCTCATAGTGAACATACATAACCAAACTGCATGAAAAGAAAAAAAAATTAAGTAGTACCTAGTTTCTACTTTAAAAGATTTTTAATTGTGATATAATATTTCTCTGAATTTTAGATTGTGTAATATCTAAAAGTTTGTTGTGATACATTGTTTAAAAAACTTTAAGAATACTCCCTTTTCTCTTACAATTTCAATTTTCTCAATTGATCAGAAAGCTCCATTATATATATTGGATAAGATCAATTTGTGTTTAAAAGTTATTGTATATTTTCAAAAAATGTCAAGTTCATTTATTTCTGTGTGTTGTCTAAATACAATAAACTCAATAATAATTCTCATAAAAAAAAAGGATTTAAGTTATCCAAATAGTTTGCTGTTGTTTATTGTACTTGCTAAACATTAATAAACTTGTCATAGAAGCTTTCAACTAGATATCACTTAACACAAAAACATTTTCAGGAGTAAAAAAATGTCAAAAAAAAAAATTCCCAATTTTTGGTTTGTTCTAAGTATTATAAGCTTCTCATTGGGATATTTTGTTCACATCTACTGGTATATAATATGTAGACAAACCATAAATTACTTTAAAAACACTTTATATTGAAATAGATTAATTAGAATCTCTTCTCTCCAGTAATTCTTAGCTGTTGGCTCTAACTATTTGTAAAGCCGAGCTTCATTAGCAACTTTACAGGCCACATTCTAAGACGTTATAAAAGAGTGACAGAGGAAAATTGCATGAAAAACCAGACATGAATCCATTATATTTTCAAGAGATGATAGTTTCTTAGCAAATATAAATTAGCCTATACTTTGGTTTGCGGAACAATTATAAAAAAATAATAAATGCTTTGTTTACAGGTGAGACTCCACAGAGCTGTACAGAATTGAAAGTTGGAACATTTTTTCATATTTCTTTATTAATTACACTAAATAAGTGTTATATGATGACAAAATGTCAATTTGAATAAAAATTTATGGAAATTGATTTATATTTTTTACTTAAATTTTGAAATTGGTTATGCGGGTGCACACAGATCTTGATAGTGTTAGTAATGTTCTTTGCAACAATAAGCCTCAAAACTAGAAATATAATTGTCTGCATGTTATAAATTCTGTGAAGAATCTTATATTTGGAAACAGACTTAGCATGTATGTTTTGTGTATGTGAGATTGCAAAAATATTGAATATTCTCTTTTATTAAGTTATATTTCATTTTGTTACTTTTTTAAATTTCAGTCTGTGGAAGCACTTCCAAAAATTGAGATTCATGATGTTTACAACGATAAAGTCCATGTTCTAACGCATGCAGAGACGATGGATTTTTTCAGGGAAAATTGTGCATCCTAAGGTGAAGCTAATTTTATGAATAGTCATGTTTAAGTAAATGGAAATAATTTGAAATCTATATGGTGTATGCAGAGAATGTAGAATCAGCAACAAATTAAATTCAGTAGTTTGGCTTGTTGATTGTTTGAAAATGTTTGTATGTAACACAAACAATTTTTATAAGTGTGATAAAGATCAATATTCTAGGAAGCAACTTTGTTCATTCTAAATAAGTTAAAATATTCTGGTAATTGAATGAGAACAAACCTACAAAGGATATTTCAGGCCTGGTGGTTATGGTGCTCAATTTCCAAGATGTGGATCACAGGTTTAAATCCCATCACAGAACATGCTCACCCTTTCACTTTGGGGGCATTACAAAGTGAGGGTCAATCCCACTATTCAATTAGAGTAGCCCAAGATTTGGCAGTGGGTAGTTATGACTAGCTTCTTTTCCCTCTAGTCTATCACTTCTAAGTTAGGATAGCTAGTGTAGAAAGCTCTTGAGTAGCTTTTCATGAAATTCAACAAACAAACAAAAGCATATTTCCAAAACAATTCTTAAGAATCAAAGAGAATAGTTCTCATTGTTTCTCTAAACATTTTACTCTGAAACTTCAAATTATGAATTGACATAAATTTTACACAAGTAATCAAGATAAAAATAATTTAAGTTAAGGGTTTTAAAATTCAATTTCTATGAATGAACTAGAAACATCTTCTATTGTAATCATTACAAAACTGTTTCTATTAATAAAGAATTGTTTATTACATTCAAATAAGAGTTTTTGTTTCTGTATTCTTTAAAAATCAATACATATTTTTTTTTGAATGTGTGTGTATATATATATAAATATATGTATGTGTGTGTGTGTGTATATATATATAAATATATGTATGTGTGTGTGTGTGTGTGTTCCATTTTAAGAATTAGCTCTAATATTTAAAGCTTAATAACTGCTTTTCTCATTAAACTATCTTAGCCTCCCAAACATTTGTTAAAATTGCAAAGCAAAAAACACATATGATACATACTTTGATGTTTTAAAATGACATTAAAATTAAACATTTAAAAGTATTTCTTCAAAAATTTAACTGTTACTGTAAACTGTTAATTTATTTTATCATGTAGTATAATCCTTATTCATAATTTACAAATTATATACATAATTAACAACTTTAGTGTTTATACTAACTATTAATAATCCAAACTCCTGAGAAACATTATATGTAGACATATTAAAATTCTTATTTCAGCTCTGAATAAAATCACCAAGAGTGTATTAAAAATGAGGGTATTATCTCATAAGATTCACAGATGATTGCCTATAATACATTTTCAAAGTTCGTGTTATGAAATGTAAGTTTAATGTTAGTCTCAACACTGAGGATTTTGTGTTGTTGATAACTTTTCTATGTTGCTTTTATATGCTGCTGTGTAACAAACAATCTTAACACATGAAAAGAAATTAATTCAGTATAACAAATAAAATGAAAATCTACAGTCAATTCACACTTTATACAAATTTCATATGTAGATATACTCTATAAGACTGTTCATTGTAAGAGTTATAATTTAGTTCATTTAGTGATCTAATATTTAATGATTATTTCAATTATTCAGTTTTCATGACAAGAGTGTTAAAAGTAATTATTTTAAAGATAATAGTTATGACAAATTTTGTTACATAACTCGTTAGAGTCGGACACTGTGTGTGTAGCTCAGGTTTTGTAATTTGACATCACATTACTCAAACCTTCTGAATTTTTTTGTTGCCTTAAAGGAGTATTGTTATTTCATAGTGTCTCGTAGTTTGTAGAAAGTTCTAGGCCTTAGTTAAGCAGTGTGTGTATATATATATATATATATATATATATATACTACGTAACAAGTAAAAGTTAAATACAAGAAACATTAAGTTAGTAGAAAGTAGTAAGTAGACTGTGTGATTGTTAGTTTAGCCGTAATGAGCAATACTTAAAGTGAGTTTCACAGTGATATTATAATAACAGAGACAATTGAACCCACCTGTTTGAAGTTCTGGATACAACTGTGGTAGCCCACAGGGTAACGTAAGTTAATTTATCACAGATTGTGCAGTAAGAAACAGAGGATAGAAAAAATAATTCATCTTGTCAGTTGAGTTCTAAAAGTAACTGAACTACCCTGGGTGAACTTATGACAAAAAAGAGAATTATTTAAAGCTTTAGGTACAACCTTGATAACCAAATCAGATTCCCACTGTCCCTATCTATTATCTTGTGAATCCACAATTTATATGCTTATTATACTTATTATAGTCACAATCATGACTATTATTCTATCTCTCCCTTTTTTTTTTTAACAGAGCTGGGTGTAACCATGTGGTTAACATGCCCAACTATGACTTTGAGAGTTCATGGTTCACAGTCCTTTGCCTTTAAAATGTGTTATACACTTTTGGGCCATGGGTGAGCTTTAAGAGGATGGTAAAATCCTATTATTCAGTCAGACAAGAATAACCCAAAAGTTGCAATTGGTGCTGTTGACCAGCTGCCTTCCTTCTAGTCTGTCAGTTCAAAATTGGGGATGGCTATGCTCAAACATCTTTTGTGTAGCTTTGCACAAAATTCTGAAACAGTTTTTTGTAACAAGAATATATTAACATTAAATTCAATTTCTAAAGTAATTAAACTCAGTTTTGACAACATAATATTCTCTCTTTCTTGTACATAGGCTTGAATGGACTGTGGACTGTGCAATGGACTTGAAATACATTATCCCTGTACATAGCTAGCAAGAGCTTACGTTTCAGATTCACACATCAAATATAAAGCTTTAAAATACAAGTTTTCTTGATAGTGTTAAAACATCAAGCTGGAGTATATTACCATTTTCTAAATAATGACCCATCAAGTGCATAAAGAAAAGTTTTACACCATGAATGTTTTTCAAAAATATCAGGTTTTGTTTACTCACAATCTTGTTAAGGGACAAGAGTCTATAGGTTGGGAATTTTGCTCACTCTTCAAATTTCTTAACTTACATATATTGTGTTCACATTATTCCATAAATGTTAAAAACAACAGTACTAACCAGAAAATTTATTTTAACCTTGTTCATAACATAACCATAAAAATGTTACATTTCACATGCTATGTACTCTAAGTGTTCACATTCTGCCTTCAGTCATTATCTGATTCGTTGGAAGTGTCATTGATGATTGTCACAAAGATTCTGAACACCTTTAATATGGAAGCTGATTTTGTTAACTTGTCTTTCTTATGCCATTTGAGTCCCAGAAACCACATTACTCTGTGGAAGCTCTGTGTGAACAGCATCCCACTACTCCTGCACCTGAACAACACAGGCAATACAAGACTACATGTAGGTCACTTTGATTGTTATGCTTATTCGAGAGAAATAGTACCCATTATTTAAAAAGATGTAGAACAGAACCTTTGCATAGAAAAGAACATCTTTCACTAATGACTTATACAGCCCATCCTCAGATAGATTCTCTTGTGTCTATGATACCACCTGCTTCAATATTCTTCCTCATAACCTCTTTCAAACTAAACCTCTGGACTCGACAATCTGTTGGAGTTCTTATTAGTTTGAGCATATATTGTACAACAGTATAACCTTGTTTTGTATGAGAGCAAGTAAACAGTAGTAGCAAATAGCACTGACAATTTTTACATATTCCTCCCTTTTGCAAAAAAGAGCAGTAACTGGGTTTTCACATCAGATCCAATTATCACTAAATCATTTATGCATAACAGCCATTTCATGGTTTCTGTATAATTTTGTAATATATGAGTATTTATTGTATTGTTACTTTGCTCATCAATAAGATGTGAACTAATGACCAAAACAGAGTACCCATCAATGGAACAAAACATTGGTTTGGCAATTGCTTATGCATACTGAAACTTCATCCCTGAAATGCATACTTGGCACGCTTCTGTATATACACTTATGTATCATCTACAATGAAGATGGTACTAATGGCATTTCTTTCTTCCAAAAGGTCCAGCACACAAGGACAGATATAGTTAGATATTAATTCTTAGTTGTTGTTATGTCCATATCCAACATACAAAGGAACAAAATGAGCTTATTGTCCTATTTACAGCCAAATAATTTCCAAACCCAGAATTTTGGTCAGAATTCTGTTGGGTAACTTAGTATGGAGTGTAACAAGGACCTCCAAACATGTTCACATCCATCTTATATGGGCATTCCTCAAAGATGGAATCCTGAAAGACAAGTCATCATTGAAACTTTGTCAGCACAGTCAGATTTTTTAAGGTATTCACCATCAGTTAGCCTGAAAGACCTATCAAAGGCTGTTCAACTTGATTTTTTTGCTGGTGCACATATTCTCCAAAAGGTTGATCTTACCTATTTTGTTATTTTTGGTATTGTCACTCATTTTTGGATCTATCATCTAGAATGAGTGGGTACAAACAATTTCTTATCTTTGCTTTTGCACCACCTGGCTCCAATGGGGATTACAGTATTATGCATAATGAATACTTGGGTTTGTGCTTTAAGTGGTACAACAATCAGCTGGGCACACAACACATAACACTTGATCGTTTTACATTGATCTGATGTTCAGTCTTTAATACGTAAAGAATGTATAGTCTGGTTTAATTGAGAATTGAAGAAGACAACATAGCTTGGATTACTTTATTAGTTTCACTATCTTCTGCATAGCATTTGGAATAATAGTATTGTGTATGGCATTTGTTATACATTGAAAAATTAGAGATATAGCAATAGATAACCTTTATTTCAGCAAAAATTCCTTATGGTAGATCCATTACAGTTGATGATGACCTAAGGAGGTCAAAACATTCTTACTTGTTTTGTATTTTTAAATAAAATGTTTAATACCCATATCAGTGATCTGTACTATATATAAACTTTTGTTGTAAATATTTATTCTTTGACCATTGCTTATATTGTATTTGCCCAAATGTAATGCACACTTTTTTCTTTCTATTATATTTGTGCACATTCAATTTTGTTAGGTATTTTACTAGAAGCTACCACTGAAAATCATTAAAGCATCATAAAGGTTTCAAAAAATGTTGCATATTCAATGCAATGGATGAGATGGATGATGACATGCTGTGGGAATCAGAAGAGGATCAAGCAAAGGTTCAAGGAAGCAAATCATGGTAGTGATAATTCTAGTTATGACAAAATTTTATGTGAAGATGAATGGTTAACTTAGTGTATTACCATGTATAAACTTTTCAGTAAATTTTGTAAAATTGATACGTAAAAAAAAATTCAATGAAAGATTTCCAAAAATGTTTAATACGTCGATAGTTACTGTATTTAGAAACTATTCAATACATTTTGTACAACTGGTGTGTTAAAAAACAAATTTTCGTATTGGGTGCACATTATATTTGGAGGCAATTTATATTCAGGCAAATACAATAGTTAAAATTCCGATCTTATAGGCCCTGTCCTTTTATAATTGCTGATACACTGAATAAAAAAGATAATAAGGTATTGATCTTTCACTAAATAAACATTTAAATATAAATAAATTATACAGTGATTTTTCCCTGAAGTTTTCAAAAGTAATAATTTAAACAATTTTTTCTCTGTCCAAACCATAAATTAAATTTTTATGAAATTCCTGTGAATTATCTCAAAGACAGTATAGTATTTACAATTGATTCCAAAAGCTTTACTAACTTTTTCCCT